TATATATACCTACTCCTGATCCTTCATGGATTTTGGGGCCGTTTGTATACCAGGTGAATTCTGCATGAATAGGAGGTCCTCCCGTCCACGTTTCCCTGTCTGGTATACTTACTTTATATTGCTGTTGAAAGCTATACTTTGGGAGCATTTCATCTGAGTACTAAGTAGAAATGTTAAGCATGTCAATATGAGAAGTTCAAATCCATTTTTTTTTTTCGAGGGTACATTGAGGCGACATTGAACAACTTTTTTGAGCATAAAGAACTTTTAATGGTCCCATAAATAACTTTTATCCAAAAGCTGGAACATATGTATCGAGCAAAGAGGCAGACATAAAATGGTAACATGGTTTTCACTTGCAAGGTCGATTACATCGATATTAGGGGTGTGGCTGCAATAAACTACATAGTTTCTTATTTTAATGCGAGAGCTGTCAAAAAGTGACAGATAAAAAATAGGGAAAATGTCCGTTGCCCTCCTTTCAATGAGATGCTTACGCAATAGAAAAATTGTTCTTGCTGTTTTTAATTGGCCATATAACAACAATCATTCGTAACACGTTTGATCTAATAAGAATGGCTGAATTTTGATAATTAAAAAAAAAACAAATATTTTCTTAACTTTGTTTTCCTAAACGAAGAAAGTTGGTGTTTAGGTAAATTTGGTTAAATTAACTTAGTTTGAGTCCATAAATATGTGGTAGCTTCATGAACAATTTTCCGGACACACTGTGTGTGTGTCCATGTTATTTTATTTATCCTATATTGTCCATGAATTATGGTTTCTTTGTCAGAATTAAGGATTTTTCTCCTCGCAAAAGAATACATAGCGCCAGCGAATTTGTAGAGAGCAAGTCAGGGACTGTTTCATTACAGGCAAACTTTGAAACTATTCGAGGCCTGCTCAAAAAGTAATGCGAATGCATCTGTAGTCAGCAAATTGGCAAAACAATTTTTGATGGTGCATAGTTGTGAGCAATTGAAAAGATGGTTGAAGTGTCATGGATGTTTGCAATAAGAAAAAAAAAAGTGTGTTGATTATTAAGAGGTTAGATATTAATACTTGTGTACTGTGTAAAAAATAATTGAAAACAAATAATAATTATAACTCTATTCTAATTAATTATATAAATCAACTATTAGTACTTGCAAAAACACTTTAATGAACATGAAAGTTAATCACGAGTATAATTAACAAAATAAATTATTTAATATTTTGGGGATCAATATGACATTTTTAATTACTCTATATACCGTGTAACATTTTAAAAGTCTAATTATAAAATGTTATTTTAAATGTGTGCCATCCGGTATAATTCAATTATCGGCAAACACCATATTCTAAAGAAAGGGAAATTTCTTGAAGTGGGAGTACCACTAACCAAAAGATCTCGCATTAGATTTTTAAATTTCATTTACTATTACCTTCTACTCGTATCTGGTGGTGCATTGGCTGTTATAGTGGTAAGCATAAAAAGTATAATTTCTTTATTAAATATCTCAGTAGAAATACTATTCAATCCTTTTTTTAATTATTAGTTCTTTAATAGTAAAGTTATATATATTTTTATGATTCATTCTGGTTGCTAGAACGGCACAATATGTATAGTCATTAGTTTTTATTATCTATTGGTTTATTTTTTTTAAAATAGCCATAACTCAACCGCCATAACTCAACCGCCATAACTCAACCGCCATAACTCAACTGCCATAACTCAACCGCCATAACTCAACCGCTGTAAACCACACGCAGTAATCCACACGCTGTAACCCTCAAGCTATAACCTACACGCAGTAATCTACACGTTGTAAGTTGATTGAGCTGAGTTAACGGAAAAAGCGACAGTTACAACTCGAAGTTACTAGGAAGAAAGAGTAACCGACAAAGGCGTTGGTTCCAGAGAGGCAGAAATCTCAACTATCTACAAATGAAGTGGCTAGCAAAAAAGCAAAAATGTGGTAATTACTAGTGACTAAAATTATTTATGATCGAATCAAAATTGTAACCTGATAAACTGTAAATAATTTGTTTTTTGAATAAAATCGTTAATTTTTATAAGTATATATGTTGAATCTTATTTTTTAAAGGTTACAAAAATTCTCTTTTATTCACACTAAATTCTGTATAAGTTTTTATTAACTTCTTTTTATTAATAAAGCTAGAGTTTAAAATTCTCACTAGCTTTTAAAAATAAAAAAAGAGAATTATTGGTGCCCAACATTACCTAGAAAATTATTACCCTAAAATTGTCTATTTGAAAAGCCGAATTCACGACAGAGAAAAGTATGGTCAATGTGCTCATTTATTTTTTTTTTTTATTTTTAAGGTAAGTAACATTTGCTATTAAATTTCACTTAGCTATTAAAAATCTCTATAAGTGTTTTGAAATTACATTTATCAAAAAGTTAACGAATAATATTACAAAATGGCAGGGTAATATTGCAACCGAAGTAGTATTTAATATTAAAAAATATTGTGTAATACCAGATAAGGATTTTCTTCTGTTAAGGAGGTCCTTTCGCCACCAATGTTAAATAAAAAATATTAGATTATGACTAAAATTAATTTTTTTCTAATAGTAGATGTCCTTATTTATCTAATAGTGAACTTTTAACTATACCTTACCGTGCAAATTTTTGAGAATTTTTTTTTAAAATGTGTGTGTTTGTACAGTGTCTTATGAGAAAGTAAGACTTCAACAACAATTTTCGAATTATAATTAATTTTACTATTATTTATTGATTAGATGGAGTAGAAAAAAACTAAAAATAAGGTTTTTGAAATATTTAGGCTTTGTTTTTTACAATAAAATATATAGGTTACCGTGGAATTTATTGAGAAATTATTATTAAAAATCACAAAAAATTTTCAGCTAGGTTACTTGAAAAATTTTTGTGATTTTTTAATATTAATTTCTCAATAAGTTCCACGGTTTACTATATATATTTTATTGTATAAAACAAAATCTAAATATTTCAAAAACCTTATTTTTAGTTTTTTTCTACTCCATCTAATCAATAAATAATAGTATAATTCGAGAATTGTTGTTGAGGACTTTGAGGACTTACTTTCTCGCGAGGCACTGTACAAATACTCACATTTAAAAAAAAATTCTCAAAAATTTGCAAGGTAAGGTATAGTTAAAAGTTCAGTATTAGATAAATAAGGACTTCAACTATTAGAAAAAAATTAATTTTAGTCATAATCTAATAACTTTTTTTTAACATTTGAGGCGAGAGGTGTGGCGAAAGGACCTCCTTAAATCACTTTCTCCATGAAAATGTAGTGAACAAATATAAGTATCTTTAGTAATATCATCAATCGATCGAAAACCTTTGTGATTTCGACCACATTTTTTCTACAAATTTTAAACATGTTTTAATATGAATTATTTTCACCGTGAGTTACTTTTACATACTCCATACCAACACCGTTTCGTAATTTTTTCTTCCGTTTTTTAAATGAATATATTTAAATTAATATTTGTCGAATATAACTTTTTTACGTGGACGTTTTCACATGCTTATTTACAAAAAACTACGAAAAAAATGGCTGATACTGACGCATGCTCACAAAAAAAATGTGATGAAAAGGCCTATTGCCAAATTTATTAGTATTGTTTTAGTTCTGCTTACGTAAAATAAACAGATACACCGTTGTTACTTTTATATTATGGATGTACTAGATATATTGAAGTTGAAGTCTTTAGTAACTCAAAGTTATTGTTTTTGAAAATAACTTAAATTTTTTTAACTAGAAGAAATACCTAATAATATAATGTTTATGAGAAAACATTTATTCTATACTATCGGCCTTGGTAACCCACAAAATTATCATTTAATGTCGACAGGCAAGGAGATGATACTAGAATTATAATATCAAATTAACAATATTGAAATAACGGCTAGTTCATCGGCCATGGTCCTGTTACAGGGACATATGGGATTGGATGAAGAGCAGCAAGAAGCATCTTTGAATCCACCTTAGTATTTTTGAATTGTTAATAAATAAGGATTTGTGAACGAACTGACGAATTGAAAAAGCTTTCGGCAAAATGGATTCAGAGATGCCTGAATACTAATCAGAAACGCTTTCGATTAACAGCGTCAAAGGAAAGCTGCCATCGTTTTGATAAAAATCTATCAAACTTTTGGGATCGGTTTGTCACTATGACCCAGAAATCCTAGAAGTGAAATTCATCTGGTTCTCCACGACCAAAAAATTACTGGTTCAAAAATCGGCTTGCAAGGTTTCGGCTACAGTTTTCGAGAACAAGCATGAAATAATTCTGGTAGTACTAAGAAGAGGTTAAAACTATCACCAAATAAGTTACCAGTTTCAGCTCAAAGGCAATCATCAGGCCAAATTATGAAGTCATATGTGCCGATGAGGACTGGTTTAAAGACCAAAACTTCTGCCGCCTTTAATCTATTTCCTTTTAGTGCTAATTTGACCATGGGAAGTTGAAAAGTCACACGAACTGAGATCCGCTGAATAGGATGTATCAGTTAACCCAAGGATCCATGACTCGTTTTACCACAATTCAGGTTTTCGTTTTCTTACTCGTTTATAAATATAGTCAGTTCCTTAATGCCATCATGTAATATATTCACGTATTGCATTACAGTTTTTCGAGGGAACACAGATTCAAGGTGCATTTTGAACAGAGGCCTAACTAAGGGGAGTGTAACATTGTCTTCTACCGTTTTTCTTTAATAAGTTCACCGTTTGTCTACAGAACGATCAGTCCAATCTTTTAATAACCTTACCTCATAATGTATATTTTATAATATGATTTATCCTAAAACAACTATGATATTTTTTTATTTATAGGTGTGTCATATAGAGCAAGACTTCTAGTTTCAATTCGCACCGAAATTACTGACAACATAGACCTCTCGCCGGCTGCTGTGGATCTAGAACCAGTGGTGCCAATAAACGAGGCGTCGTATGCGAAAAACGAAGAATTTTTCTTATTTACCACCATATTAGAGGCTTCCATGATTGATAAGAAACTCGGAGATAAACCGGTTTATTTCGAAATCAGTATTGGGAATGCTGGAAACGCTATGGATGGACATAATGCATCTGCCAGAGACCACTATGATTCGGACAGTGACGAAATAGGTATGTTTCATTTTTTTAAGAATGATTAGTTGATAGTTGATCACTTGATAATTCGTTATAATATAATGTGTTCTATAACACAAATTTATAATAGCTGAATAAATGTAAAACGCAAATAAATGCAACCAAATTAACAATATCAATAAATTCACAATATTATTAAACTTCTCTTATGACACCCTGTCCCATCACACAACGGCAGCGCCCTGTAAACGTGGTTAATTATGATTACAAATGCTACCCCAATATACCCAATTAATGTTCCCCTTCTGGTGTTGACTGTGCCTGTAATCGCCGAAAAATTTCAGTTTGATTTATATCCTCCTTGACCAAAAACTTATTGATAATAAGTTGCATCACGAAGACTAACACTTCTTTCTTGCTCATTATTTATTTTTATATTTAAGTGATTCTAGCGAATTGCTGCTGGTTCTACCTTCCGGACGGTAGTGGCTAGCGGCATGTCAACTCGTTGAAGGTCACTCCTTAATAGAGTGTACTATTATCATCTGTAAGCCATCATTTTACTTTTCAAATTTAAAATTTTTTAGTTGGTCTTTAACCATTTTGTCTTGGCATTTTAATAGCGATGTTTAATATTATTTTGCTTGTTTTGTTAAATGACAATGTTACCTAGCTTTAACAAACTTTTATTTAATATCATTGTTTTATCATTTGTAACGTTTTGTTTAATTTTGACGATAATTCCCAGATAGCACACGACTTCTAAAATAAGTCTTTTTGTGTCTTGGTTTGGTCTCAATGTCTTAGGACGTTATTAAGACGTCTGGCAAAAGCCATAATTCAGACCTATTAATGTGAGGGCTCAAACACGTTTTTAGGTCGTCTTAAAGACATCTTACCAAATCCATATATTAATGTGCAAGCTATAAATCAAAGACGTCTTTAAGATGCCTTACAAACGTTATTCAGTTGGACGGAAACTTGCACAATTTACACAATTCAAATTTAACAAGAAAAATTTTTGAAATAATAACAGTTCAAAAACTAGATATACAAACTTTGTTTGGTACACAAATTAATGTCATCAGTCATCACTTCTGCAGCATATGAAGTGTGCATAGTTTGTCTGAGCTATATAACTTCCAAACTAGTAAACAGAGAATTTATTTACGAAAACGTATAGGTATATACAATTTTCAAAATACATATTATATTTAAATAAATTTTAATTCCAAATGCCGTGTTCGATTTTAAAGAATTTGAATATTTTTGTTTTGAAACCTAAAAGTTTATATTTTATGTATAAAAGATTTTATTACAGAAAGTAAAAACTTTAGCGAGACGTTTTGGTCTTGTAGGAAAAACATCATGCTTGATTTAATTTTATTTGGGTTAATGATATTCCATTCCAAGATAATTTAAAATTTGCATAATAGATAATTGGACACAGAACAACAAACAGCATATATGATGGAAATATACATTTTAGTACTGCGGTAACTTTACAGAGATAATAATCAAAGGATTTATACTGAAACTTGTGGGACTGTGCAAATGGAAATATACGAGGTGGGTGGAGGTCTAATATCTCTCTTGCCATAAGAACTGTGAGAAAATGTTTTTAATATAAGTAATAGGGTTTATTATTGAATAACAATTTAAAACAAAAAAGATTAAATTTATTTGTTTTCTTTTAGCAACTGGTGACATAATGAACTCATAACCAATTATATAATATTCAACTGTATACAATTGGTTGAGACTTGCAGCGAAAACAGAATATGTCACGCTATAAATCAAAATTAGAAAATCTGTTTTAAGATAAGGGCCAGTCTTTTAACCTCTAAGTAAAGTTGAAAGTAATTTCTTGCTGATTAAACTATAGGGCTATTGTTTGTTAATCTGTCAAGTAAACGTACGTATAACTTTACTCAGAGGAGAAAAGATTGGCCCTAAATGTAAAAAAATAAATACAACGTTTACTTGCTATTTTTATATAAAATCAATAATAATAATAATAATAAAGTGGCGCTGGGAAACAGTAACAAAGCCTACACAGAACACGAGGCTAATGGCCGTAGTAGTCGACGCCGATGACACCACATTAAAAAAAAAATACTCTCCCTAATTCACCCCCTTACGAGTGAATTTAAACCCCAAAAGCTGAGCTTGTGCGGGGAAAGGGACGGCTATTATTATTATTTGCCGTGGCGCTCCGGGGCGACTTAAAGATGATTGATGGTGCCATTTGACTTACAGGTGAGGTAAACCCAGAAAACCTCACCCACCATTATCGAGACGGTAATGTATGGCGATTATTTTTAATCTGCATGTCATATTAACAGAAATTGAATTTCTATTAATACGGCACACATCAAATCCTATACCGAACCATGCAATTTAATAAAAAATCCACATGGTCTGGTCTGGGATTCAAAGCCCAGCCAGGGCCGCCGAGAGCCAAGCCGGGCCCCAGGACAATTCTCTAGATCGGGCCCCGTGACCAAAAAACAGTTCTTCAAACAAAAACTTTTCCTCTTCTTCGATTCAATTTTCTATAAAAAAGGTCTTCAAGTAAAAAATTTTCCTCTTGTACTTGAATTGCTTTTTCTAAAAATAAAAAAAAAGTGCGTTACACCGCTACACCACCGACCCAATACTATGAATCATCAGAAAAGTTCGTCATATTAAATATAAAGTCACTAGAAATGAAATCTCGAACCGAAAATTATTTTTTAAAAAGTTTTATTTTACTTAATTAAAAGAAATTTAGATGTTTATGGTTTGAATGCTAACTAGGAACTTACTTCTAACTGAATAAACTACTTTTATATAAACAAACTATTCTAAAATGCTAACTATATAAAATCATATATTTTATATATTCTATAGTATGGGTGACATAACTCCTCCCTCTGAAGAGTCAGGTTCCGAGGGCTAACGAGGAAGATGGACATCTTGTAGGTTGAAACTTTCTTCTGTCCCCTTGGATTTTATTTAAGTTTTTTCCATCTTTTAAATAGCCAGAAGATAAGGATAAAAACTAATATAATATAAATAATAATAGTCCATGAGCTTGGTACATATGGAATGGTTTTGGATTCGAAATTTGGTTGATTTTGAATTATATTTTCTCGTAGAGTTTGAAGGTCATCATCTAGATTGATGTGTTGCAATTTGACATTGAGAGTGGACCATTTTTTTTCGGCAATTTGGTCGTCCATTTTTGGAAATAGAATAGGTTGATTCTCGAATGAATTTTACTCAGTATTAACAATGGTTTCTTCCTCAGTTATAATTTGACAATTTGTGGGAATTACTGCTAGGAAGGTTCCAAATAGCTTAATTATTTCTTCTTGAGAATTACATTTGAGGGTTAGCGTAATTTCTTTGGGTGAATGAAGGGCGTGATACGGCTATGGATACTTGTGGGTATGTGAAGGTGGTTTAGTAGTTTAGAAGTTTGGATCTCACAGGAGCTGTTCTGATTTACTTTTCTGAGACTGGTTGGGTCACAAATGTAATTTTGGCTTGACATCTTGGTGCAGGAGTTACCCGAATAAGCATAGTACAATTTATTTTGTACAACATATTTATTTTCCGGGTTAATCGCCTTAAACTGACCTTTTTTTAAAATAGGTATAGGATATAAATTATATAGGGTTAAATCTACAGGTATAGTTATTGGAATATGCAATATATACGTTATTCTATTATTAGAAAGAAAGCAGGATATTTTTATAATCTTTTGCAGAAATAATACATTACTTAAGTTTAAACTAACTGGTATTTTTTTTTATTATAATCTTTAAATACGGTTTCCAAAATTCTGAATAAATCTTTGATTGTAATTATGCTGGGATGTAATACTCCAAGTTGTGCAAATGATATCGAGTTTTCAATATCTTGCAGTATTGAATTTAATAACTCATACATATTAATAATTTGGATAATTGTATCTTTTACATAAATACTATTTTCCCATTTAAATTGGTCTTGTACCAATATGGTTATTGTATCAATTTTACTAGCTAATAAATTATGATTATGTTTTATTGTTTGAACTGTTTTATTGAATTTATCTATTAGCGATGTTGCTAATGAATTTTGAGTTTTATTTGAGTCTTTTAGTTTATTTTGATTTGATTGATGCTGTTCAATCAGTTTCTCGTAATGTTCTCCATCACTGGCATCTAGATTCCCAGTGATTGCTTTAAATATAGAACCTACTCCATTTATTAATCATCTTTTTATTCTTTGGGAATACGGTATAATTTCATTCAATCTGATTTCTATTTTATCTTCTAAAAAGTGTAGTAATTTGAAATAATTTGAATTTTCTGTCCTATAGTCTTTATTTTGTTGAACTGACTTTGTTATATTTCTAGATTTAGTTTTTAGTCCATCGATTTCGTTAAGTAAATGATTTAAATCATAATAATAAATTATTAAATGATAATATTGAATTACTTTTGCACTGCCAAGTTTTAAGGGTAGAAGTCCGGGATTTTCACTTACATTTTTTAATGTTATGGTGTCTGGTAGTCCTAATACACCAGGTAACCTGAAAAGATAAAATTTAGTTATCGAAAGAATAAAGTCTTTTCAGTGGGCGTTTAATATTACTCATGTGTATTTTGCCATGTTTTGAAGTGGTTACTGTTTTTCGTTTTTTATTTACTGATTTAATGGCAATTGGTTTCTGAAATTTATTAGCACTTTTCTTTCTTTTTGTATTTTTAATATACGCAGTGGGGTAAGGTTCAAATATTTTTGGGTCTTCACGATCTGTATTAATTTTTTCGACATAGTCTTTTTTATTTTCTCTTAAGAGTTCATTTATTTTAATGTATAATATTTTTGTTTGTCTTTTATATTGATTTACATAATCATTTAAAAGTAATCTGTCCAAGTCTATATTAAAAGGTTCGTTATCTGTAATATGTCCGTTAATAATGTCAATGAGTTTTAATTTCGTTGCGGAATGAATGGTATTATGTAAGCTATATGCTAAAATTGCATAGATTATATTATTT